AAGATAAAACTTTTTTTTACAAAAAGGGTCGACTCACGAACACTTGTAATAAGCGAAGAAAAATATTTGTTCGCGTTTTTAAACAAAAAATACTTAAAAACTAAACTATGTAAAATCTTACATAAAGTCAAAAACTATGTAAAGCTTATTTCTGTAGTTCGGGGTGTGAATCAAAGTATGAAAAAAGGTAAAAAGATGCTCGCCCATCTCGCTCGTTAGATTGCGGTGTGGCCTGCGCTTTATAATGATTAAATTCCCAAGGAAATTTGATATCGGCCATAAAAAAACATTTAGTTTATAACATATTGCGGCAACCTTAAATGAAATTGGCAAAAGCAAGAAAAATTAAGCTGACGATAGCACTTTCAGAAACATATGCTGCATGTAGTTCCTGTCTTCACAAACCATTGAAATAAAACAAAAAATAACTTATAATACATTATATATTCAAAAGATCTTGTCTCAATATCATTTACATACGTAAAAACGTCATTCTATTTACAGCGTCCATTTTCACAACACATTTACAATAGTTATATCTAAATCACAAAAGTATAAAAAAAAATCTGAAATAAAGTTGACATACAAAAATCTCTCCATTTACACATATAAACTCATTTGATCTTATACTACACGAAATGTACACTATTTACAATATCAATACTGCATTTTGAATTATAAACAATATATTACATGAATTGTTTTAATATTCAGTATTTTTAAGTAAAACTCATGTTACCCTGATGTGTATCATCGTTAGTTGAACGCATCTATCGATAGGATATATCCCTAACGGTATCTACATATCCCAACCGATAACAGGGATATATCGTTTGGGATATATAAATCATGGTGTTCTATATATCCATACCGATATATCCCAACTAAATGTGTGACTATGAATGGGAACAGCCCAGCTTTAGTCCAGTGTGAACTAATACTTTCTTACATAGACATTTAAACCCTATGTCAAGATTAACGAAAAGTCCTATCACACACCAAAGGTAATCGTCAACAAGTGACCTTCTTTCTTATGGTGTAGGGGGCATGTGATGGTGAGTGACTACTACTACTCGTAATAGTCACAATTGTGTTGCCACAATTTCAATCCTTTTAGGTCAGCCAGATTCCCCTAATCTGGCTGACCAAAAAGGATTGAAAGGTTGAATTCAGGGTTAAAAAAAAGAGCAGCTTTCTTTGGGTGTATTATCATAGTAAGTGACAAAGTCTTATTTTCGAATCCCTCCTTGTATACTACCATCGTCCATGAGTGTTCTTAAGGTTTCCTAGTTAGGTTAGGTTTCCTATTTGTGTCATAATTAAAGAAATTAAAGAAGTATATGATTGTAAACTTTTGCAACAAGTACAATTTTTAGTAATATTTAACTTTTCAGTACCACTTTTACAATTCATATGTTTATTAAAAAAAAAAGGCAAGATGATAAATAAATAGGTTGGTAACACCTGACAAACAACCTCGCAATGGAACCTTGCTTTGCAGCACTGGCTGTTTTTATTTAAAACAAAAACAATGCTGCACTACCTTAGGTCTTCTTAGTTTTTTCCGAAAGTTCTATTTTTCAATCGTTATTTTTATTTCATGATGGTTGTGATTGAATCTACTTATTATCGGGTACAGGTGATATTCCTAAAATAATCTAATGTGTGATAATTAGCTGATTCAATGTCACATGTGAAGATGATACTATATAAAATACGTTCAACATGAAATAAATTTTAAGTTGAAATAAATAATCATATAAGTTGTATGAAACACGGATATCATTAAACATTTCGGATTGAACATCTTATATTAAAGACGCACCAACTTTAGTACAACTTACATGTATTGCAAGTCAAGTTCATTGTCATCTAAAAGTATTGACAAAAATCAACAATTATAATACATCACTAAGGCTGTAATGTCTATCCTCCGTGCTATGTCAATATAACACAGCCATTGTATTACAAATATAGAACTAACTAACTGTATTGGTCAATATCGTACATGTGGCGATAATTATCGCTATAGAAACGAATTTCATAGTACGGGAAAACAAACAACTTAAAAAAAAAATTTGTATATATAAGTATTTATTTATTTGACTGGCCTGTTGGTCTAGTGGTTAATGACCCTGACTGCTACTCCAGAGGTCGTGGGTTCGATTCTCACCCAGGACAACTAATTGTGTGATGAGCACGGTCATTTGTTCTGTGTCTGGGTATAATTTATCTATAATATGTGTGTATTTAGAAATATATAAGTATGTTTATGAGCAGTCTTTTTTTTTTTTTTTTTTTTTTTTTTTAAAAAGACAACGCCCGCATTAGGAATAAATCCTGTGTCGCGGGGGACTTTACAAACATACATGAAACGGACACAAAGGATACCCAGACTCAGAACAACAATTTGTGGATCACACAAAGTGTCGTCCCATGTGGGGTTTGAACCCACAACACTCGGCGTAGTAGGAAGCGGCGTGGCGACCGCTTAAACCACTACGCCATCCGTGCAGTCAACAGTTATCATAGTACAGGCTCTGACTAGTTTGGGATCAGGCGGCCGTGTGTGAGATGTGTGAAAAATATTATTATTATTATTTATAGTTATTAGTTTGGGTCATGGTCGATTGACAGTGTAAGTGACAGTCACCCATAGTGTAACAAATATGGACTAAAGAGACTTGGTTCAAAATTACTGTATGTATGTACTGTAATATGGTTTCAAATCGAAGTGTTGGTAATTATCGCAAATATAAAGATAACTAATAGCTATGAAAACGGGTTTCATAGTACGGGAAAACGGTCAAGTAAAAAAAATATGTACATGTTTTTATAGTTATTAGCTCGGGTCACGTTCGGATCGGTCGATCACCGGGCTGACAGACAGTCTGTGACTACAACCAGTGGAATCTGGTCGAAATGTCACACAATTAAAAGGTATGTAATACCTACTTCCCGAATGTGCAATTTTGAAAATTTCATATATAGACATCAAAGGTAAAAATCTCATATATAGACATATTTCATTGCTCTATAATTCTAATCATTACACAAAAAGAAGAGGTAACTTTGTCAAGAGTTTTAAATCAAATGTATATTTTAACTAGTAACTCAGCAATATTTTATATTCTTGCAACTTTTTATTTATTTTATCTGTAGACAATAATTTTAATAACATAAGCTAGCATCTATCAGGTAATTGGAATTTTGCAATGGATGGAGATCTACTTTTTCATTTGTATTATATTTCATAATTTTAGTGTGTCCGGTTAACAAGATAAGTACGTTCATATAAACTAGAGCCAGGGATGTTAGATTATAGTGAGTCGAAGCTGGTACAGATGTCGCTGAAAGGCTCTAAAAGCCGGTATTCGAAAAAAAATGTTGGTACACTCACAGTAACGTTATAATAATAATATATTGTTTATGTTGCATGTTCTTTTAAATGAATTTTTTTATTATATGATAAAAAATTTCATACCTGATAAAAAAATAACAATAATAGTTATAATAATTATAACCATATATAATAATAGCTATAATAATTACAATAATTAAACTAATAATAATAATAATATTAATCTTAAATAAAATAAAAATTAACCATTATTTATATTGACCAAATTTTTTAATTATTTTCTGACAATATTATACCCGTCATTAATAGATAGTTGGCTCGATTGATAAAGTTAATCCGAAGTAAGTTTCTATTCTGTTCAATTTACTGTTCATAATGATATTTATTTTTCACCCATTAGTCAAAATAAATATCTAATATCATACAGTGAATTTTACAAAAATCAATGTTGTAATTATAACGTATAGCAAGAACTTTTTTATATGATAAATGTAAAAAGTTGGTATTATTACGTACCAACACAATATTTAGTTGGTACATAGCACAAGACCTTGAAAAATGGTACGTATACCAAGAAATAGGGACTTCTAACATCCCTGACTAGAGCATCCAAGACCACTATACATTGCTGCATACAGAAATATTTATAATACAAAGAAATGCTAGAGATCATAGACCTATATTACTTAATACGAGATCTTTATCATGTAACTTTTTAAGATAATAACCAATCTTATTCTGGAATTACTAATCAAATAAAACAATTTCAAAATACAAGGCCGGTCTTTCCATAATTAGACAATTCGAGTTACAGATCTGTTATATTTTATACATTCTCTTTATTGAAATATTTTCCCAACTAGTAACCAATTATATCTCAAAATGATGGTAGTATGAAAGTAACATCCTTGATTTCATCTATAGTCGTGAGGATTACTTCAATATAGGTGGCAGACATATCACATCAGAAGCCAAACATCCTCAGATCAAAAAATTTGAATCTACTCAGACTATTGAGATCTATAGGACATTTTTTTTTATGTCAGAGCGAGGAGACTGGTCACCTGATGGAAAGTGACCATCGCCGCTCATGAACGTCTGCAACTCAGGAGTCATAAACGCGTTGCCGGCCTTTTAGGAAGGAGTACGCTCTTTTGTTGAAGGTCGTATCGGTCCGGAAATACCGCAGACGATAACCCGTTCCACAGATTGGTTTTGCGGGACAAAAAGTGTTAAGAAAATATTGGAACCTGATAGGTCAGGAGACCAATGCGTAACTGTTTTCTTAAACCGAATTGATAATAGTTACCAAATAGATGCATACAAACTAAATCAAAGGAAGCAATTTTGGTATTACTAAACAATTGACCAACAAAAAGATCCTATCATTTTCAAACCAAAAGACTTAGCTTCCTTTCAAATTTTTTGTCAATAGAAGGTAGACTAGCTAGTCATGTTACGTTTGTTAACGCTAATGTACAACAGTAATAAGGTCACTGACCGTCACGACTCGGTAGGAACGCCGCACTCTGTTTTCCACCAGTCCATACACTTGAGCACTGAGCATACACACACATTCCTAGCTCGAACTAGCCGATGCACACTTCGACACACTAAATTAACATGTTCAGTCGTCTATTTACGATGCTCGTCTCTTTAACGTCACTTTGCCGCGAGCTAACTGCGATATGTATATCCGTACACGTTCTAAGTTCGTTTTCTTAACCCATATCTGAAAAAAAAAACATAAATATTGGCTTCTGTTTAACCTCAATTAATAGTAATGCAGTTGAAAGCCATGAATTCGAACGATCAATGCACTTTGCAAACTCGCATTCCATAAATCAATATTTGAACATCTGTAACACTAGAATGGATAATAAATGAATGTAATGTGACTATATACAAGGTGTAAGGGACATCGTACCGAATATTGAAATAGAGTATTCAGACCTGTCAAATGTTCTGTCTACTCATTGTGATCATTTTTCATTCTTTTAAATTGTTCAATCTACTAATTGTGATCATTTTTCATCATTGGAAATGGAGGAAAAATAAATTTCCCTCCCTTACACCGTGTATATATATATATATATATGTGTGTGTGTAATGGACTATAATTTTTATATACTACGGTATAATATTGCTTGTTGTTAAACATGCAGTCAAATATCTTGTGGTTATCAAAGATTTCCTTGCAGGGTTACATCGAGGCCCGGCATCAGATATAAGATACATTCTCTTTTATAACAGATATGAAATAGATTTGAGGCATTAACTACATTATGATTATAGCTTACCGCCTCATCAGTGATGGCGTGTATGTGCCCGGGAAATTTGGGCAGGTCCCGGCCCTCAACTGAGACACTCTGGCCGCGGTGGTACCACCGTCTCTCGTACAGGAGTTTACCGTCTTCCACTCGAGTCTCCGTAGTCTCTCCGCTTTCTCTCACTGGAGATTCACCTGAAGTAAATTGTAAGTTTTTAAATAAAGATATAGGCTAGGCTTAAATATTTGTATGAAAGTTCTCAACTATGTTCTACAATTTCAGTACATTAAATAGGTATCTTTTGAAAGAGGAATCGATGCCTCGTGAAGTGTAAGAGATTTCAAGGCTCATTCCTCATTCTTATTTTTCATATCTAAAAGATATAAATTTATACAATCAGAAAACCTACTCAGCATCATACTGGGTAAGTATCACCCTCATAATGACGAAAAATACCAGTTTTGCTTATATTTGCAGAGATCCACTTTCTCTTTCTTATTTGTAGGCTTCTCTTTCTTATCTGGCGACCCCGACTCGGCTTCGCATGGGAATCTTCAAAATTCTGGGATTTTCTCTCTACCAAAATTTGCAAGTATTATACACATAAACCCTCCTCTTGAATCACTCTATCTATTGATGGAAACCGCGAAAAATCGGTAGCGTAATTTGAAAGATCCAAGCGTACAAGAACAGGTCAGCAACTTCATTTTATATCTTATGATTTGAAGATCAGCGGGAGCGCAGGAGAACTCACGTGGAGTGGAGTTGATGTGCTTCCGTGGTGGAGGGTTGGCCTGGGGCGCGTGGTGGCGCGGGGGGGGCGAGTGGCGAGCGATGGCGCGGAGGTCGGCCTCGATGTCGCGCTCGTCCAGCTGGAACGTCAGCGTGTTGGTGATGGGCTTGCGCCGCTTCTCGGGCGCCGGCGCCGGCTCGTTGGCGCGCCGCCGAAGGATGCGCTTCATCACCGGCTTCACCTGAATACATAAACGTTTCTTTTTAAACTTCACTGAAGTCAAATTATTAAATAATAAAAAGAAATACTCTCTCGGCACTCTCATATATTCTTATATTAACAAATTCAAATTTATAAAGCAGGTCCTTTTAAAATGTAAGCCCAAAAAAATATTTTTAATATACCTAATATAACAACCGAGGACTTTCTTAGACCAGACATATCAATCCATCAATCAATTAAGCATGTAGAACTCACGGTGCCCTGGGAAAAGAAACTCCCTAAAGACCACGCTTTAAAAAGAAACAAGTACTTTGACTCAACCAACGAAATAACAAAATTAAGCTTAAAGACCTTGGATTGCTAAGAGCTTCAGTAAACTCTTTTCTTGAACAAATATCTAAAGCGCAAAAGCAGCATTGTTTTTTTTTGTTCTAAAAAGACATCTCCCTCATTATGAATATACCCTGTATCGCAGGGGACCTTACACACATACATGAAACGGACACAAAGAACACCCAGACTTGAACAACAATTTGTGGATCACACAAAGTGTCGTCCCATGTAGAAATTGGACCCACAAAGGTGCTAGGTTCGTATCAAATATAGTAAGGTAGGAGGGGTAGACAGTGGAGGTGAGGGCTTCCTGGATACCACACTGGCCAGACAGGTTGATATAGGGTTGTTTCAAGTTTTCCTACTCTATGCAATGCTGTTGTCCTGCATAGCTTGTTCCTTTAGTCGGCTCTTACGACACCCACAGGATGAAAAGGGGTGGTGACACTCCGTATTCTAAATCCGTCTCAGCAAAATATTCAAACAAAATTATTATTACAAATTTGAATTTCATTACCTCCATAGAATCTCCATTGAGCTCCATATGTTGTCTCTCATTTTCAATTAACTTCCTCTTGTCCTCAAAATCAGTTAGCAAATTCTCTCTCAACTCTATCTTCTTGTCCTCAAACTCTTTTGCTGCAGCCTTCTTTTCTGCTATATATTCTCTTTCTACAACATCATACATGTGTTCCCTGTAATACAGTACAAATTATTTCAAATAAATAAGTTGTCATTTCAAGATCAATTAAGTAAAGTGTGCATTAAAAAGAAAGAAATTATACAAAAATATACGTAACATCTACAGTGTTGACAACCTATGTGCCGCAGGGCAGAACAGTATTCCAACAACGGTGAAGGTAATCAATGCGCTTCCCACAAAATTCTCATAGTCCCAGACCCAATTGCCAATAGACTTATTTTTTTAATGGTTAGCAATTCACCTAACCGAAAAGCTGAAAATTCATCTCAAAAAGCGTACTTTAAAAAGTTATGAGGAAAAGAGTCAAAATTACTAGTAAGAAAGAGATAGTATAGGCTATACATCTCTCACTTACTTGATCATGTATAATTACAAAAAAGTAAATAAGTTTATCTGTGTGCAGAAATTACCATTGCCCCTAGTCCAAGCCCTGTTTAGTTTGTCTATAGTAATATAATAATATATTTTACACATTTCACACATGGCCACACATACCCGTCTGGTACACACAATCCTAATATATTGCTGTCGTAGATTTTCCCCTTAGTATATTAAATATAGAGGAGGCAAGACTAAGGTCCTTATACATATAATATTAAGCTATAAGAGTGCAATGCTATACATACCTGTGTATTTTATTTAATCTGAGCCTCTCATTAAGCTGATGCTCTAGCCTTTTCACTCTCCGCAGAAACTCGGGATGCACACCGTCTTCTAATTGCTGCAACTGCTTCTTTAGGCTTGCTAGTTTGTCTTGGTATAACCTAAAAAGTAATTTAATATATTTTAATATTAATTATCAAAATGATCTTTTATGATAACCTGATCTTGACAAAGGCCATACTAAGTGACCCATTTAAGGAGGAGAGGAATCTTTAAAATACCACACTTGGCCATATGGACGGCTTAGGTGTTCGTCACATATTTCAAAAGAAGTTTGTAAGCCAAATTATTACTTTTTTCACTTTTTGTGTGCAAGAAATGATTTAAGACCATATTTTGGATCTACGTGAAATTAAAGGGGAGGAGGGGAGGTTTTAGCATATACTTTGGTCACCAAAGGGGGTGTTGTAGTATATGCCAAAATAGGTCACATAGCATGGGTTATGTTGCCTAATATGTAGTAATTTTTACTATACAAAATTGTTAAAATTGTTTAATACTTAACTGTTCCTTAACTTCTACTGGTTCATCATTGTTTGGTATATCTGTTTCGCTGGCTTCTTCTGTATCTGTAAAAAATATTTTATATACATATAAATTAATGAAAACTAGATCATTATTTAGCAAGTTCTAAAAGCTGAAAAAAAAACTAAAAATACAGAGCTTAACCATTACTTGACAGCGATCTTGTCAATTGGAACTAAATTGTGTTACCAGGCAAATGTTAATAGGGAATGCATTGAAGTGTTTTTATACAAAAGATGTTCGTAAATAAAATCATTAAGGGCAAATAAACTAATACTAGCTAAGATAGCTTAGCATATGAGGGTAGACAAATACATTTATCTGTGGTTGTTCATTCATTTAGAAGGTAAGACCCAAGTTTATTTTTAATATTATTCAGGTTGAGGTTCAACATATACATTTACGTCATAATTATACATTAAGCATTCCAAACATGGTGCGTTTCCACATATTTGTTTAAAAGAATATTTCAAACATTTTTTTCAAATATTTTTTAAACATATAATTTTGTCAATGTCTTGCTATTCTTGAATCTTGAAATAATAAGTATGGTAATCACAATAAACATGAAAGCATTCAACCTTACCTAACATAAGAATACTGAAGTCGTTGTTGATCAAGCAGGTACTTAGGTATTTTAATTTTTGATTGTCAATTACTGTAATATTATTTGATGGTTTTAAACAAGTACAAAATTAATAAATAACTTTTTTGTATGTGATTTGAAGCGAGTTGAATAATTTCTCTTTTTTTGTGTGTTGACACTTTGACAAAATATTTGAAGTTGGTCATCTAAAAAGCTACACATACTAATGTGTTCTTTGTGGAGAAAGTGACATCAAAAGAGTTAATTACGTCACCAAACAGGTTAGCAAAAATAGGCGGGAACACAACAGTTACGATGATTTGTATGTAAATAACCTTGTTATAATTACATAACCAATGTTTACATGTCACTTGGGACTGGATAGACTATCTTGTATAAGATATTAGTCAACTTTTTAAATGAATTCTTTAACGCAGGGTTAGATTAAGATCGTAAACAAAGCATACCTTCATCACTATCTTCCACGGGAGGTTGAGCTGGTAGCACATCTTCTCTGTCCCTGTATTCGTCCAGATCATCGTACCCGTCGTCCTCGAAGTCATATTCGTCCCCCGGGCCAGAATATGGTGATCCTTGGTAAGACATAGTGGAGGCGACGCGTAATAGTTGCATACAGATTAAATGTGAACACCGTCTCAGAAACAAACTCTGACAACGAGTAATTCCGATATTAACAAGAGCAACAAATGGCCAATGCCACTTATGTCACTCATGTAAAGAATTTAACATAAATTTCACTTAGACGAAAAAATGAAATTAGAGCAAATTGAAGCTGTTTTACGTCAAATCTGGACAAAAAGCATCATGCTAACCTGTCGAAGGGCAATGATCAACAAGAAACAAGTGGGTCGCTAGTAGCATTACTATTTCTTAAAGAGTAAGAGAGAAGTCAGATTGTTTCATAAACAATCCGTATAAATTTATTTTTTACGTATTATAATCATAGATTGTAGACTTTTCATTGTTAACTTTACATTTTATAGTTTTATACTTTTTTAAAATAGAGTTGATACTTGTTCCTTTTAGGTTAAATTTGTACCTCACAAATAATAATATACCTCACACATGTCTAACACTGCCGTCTGATCCCAAACTAGGCATAGCCCGTGCTATGCTAACCATACTGTTGATAAACACTCTCATATATAAATATTATATTCTTTTTTTAATACATATATATTATAGATAAAGTACACCCAGACACAGAACAAATGTCTGTGTTCATCACAAAGTATTTGTCCTGGGTGGGAATCTAACCACTAAACCAATGGGCCCCTCTATAAAACGATAGATGTATTAAACTATTTCTTTTAGTTGTTTCACTGTTATAAAGCTACATTACCTTTAACTTTTTATCCCATGAGAATATCCGTTTTATCTGTTCATATCTAAGGCACTGAATTAGAAATATAGTGTAATTAACTTCGAAAGAAGTCACACGCAAACGGTATTGTAATTTGCTCACAATACCGTTGGCCTGTGACTTCTTTAAGAGCTTTTTTCTTGAAAAGCGATATTAAGAGTAAAAAGAGTAAATTCAAAATATTAGATAACAGGTAAAAGTAAAACGGTTATAACTTGTTAAATTAAGTATTTTAATGAATGATGGATACACTCAACGCTTAATTAATATTTGAGGGTAGTCGATTTTACTTACTAATTCAAAGTATTATTTTGTATCTGTGGATCCAGAAACAGCTTTTTTTATAAATACATTATTGTCTATTGTTATGATTTGACGTCACGGAGGTGGACGTCATCTTGAATGAAAAATTCCTATTTAATTATTTATTTTGCTAAATTAAACGCGTAACACGGGTTCCTTACTAGTGATTAACGAATAAATTAAACAAGCTTGTTTGTGATGTCTTCTGTAAAGACCAGTTCTGTGCGATTGTAATTAGTGAAGGTGACGCTATTTTCTATTGTGTCGGTGATGTAATTTAGGTGATTGGGTGGCTTCCTAGTGTTAAGTACCACAATGGAAGAGTCCTCATTTACTATCCCGGCCGATGACAATGGCGATACTGAACTCGATCCTAGAATACAGGTCAGTGAGTGAAAAATAATGTACTGAGTATTTTATTAGGTAGGCCCTTGTAACTGCAAAGATGAGTGTCAATTTTGTCGATTATTTCGCCAACGAGCACAATGGGTATGATATATTATATCATAACATGAAATACGGATTCTTTGCAAGCAAAGAGCTCTCGGAGTATCTCAGAGAAAGGTCAAATATAGAAGAGACAAATTCGAAATCATTAGCTAAGTTAGCGAAACAGGCGAATAGTAACTGCACGCAGGGTACATTCGCACCGTTTTGGGGCGTTTTGAAATGTTCTGCCGAAAAGCTATCCAATTTACATCAACATATGTTTCAAAAACTGAGTGAACTAGTAAAGGATGTAGCTAGGTATGCAGAAGAACTTCACAAAAAGCATAAGGCAGTCAAAGATTCTGAATCTAATACTCTAGAAGTGGTATTGCTAATTCAGAACACAAAGCAGGCACTACAAAAGGCTAAAGATGTGTACACAACTAAGTCAGCTGAATTAGAGAAGTTACGGAAAGATAATGCATCTGCTAAAGACGTTGAGAAGGCTGAGGTGAAGCTGAAGAAGCTCCATGAAGATTACCGACAGTTAGCCGAGAAGTACAACCTGGTGAAACAGGACTTTGAAAAGAAAATGACCCAAACATGTAAACATTTTCAAGATGTGGAGGAAGCTCACCTTAAGCAGATGAAACAGTTTGTCAACTCCTATGCTGATATTATTCAAAACAACCATGATCTGATGGGACAAGTGCATAGGGACTTTAAACACCAATGCCTAGAGCTAACAGCTGAAAAATTGCTGGAACAGTTCTTGATAAAAAAATATAATGCAATAGAAAAAGCAATTATTGAACTTCCTACATCTTTACCCAAACCAGGCTCAGCAAACAATTCAATATCTGAAGCTGACCAAATATCTACTATCTCTAATGGATCTCATAAACCAGCCCAACCAGCTAAAGCTCCTAAGAAAGAACCTTCCTTTGCCACAAAAACTTCTAGAAGAACTACCTCCCTTTTGAATTTGTTTACACCTAATTTCCAAAGCAAGGAAGAGCCCAGTGGTAGTGCTGAAGGTGCAGCACCATGTTCTGCACCTTCCAGTCCTAGTGGTACACCAGCTACACCAGTAGCACCAGACAAAGATGATAACATGGGCCGGACTACTCTTAGAGAATCAAAGTGGTTCATGCGCAGCAGGAGACCTAAGCTGAAAAAGCCTAAGAAGAAAAAAGAAGATATTTCAGAAAATTCGAATCCTGGAGAAAAATCTGACTTAGAAGAGAAAGAGGAAGAAGCACCAACAAAAGAGGACTTAATCAACTCACCAGAAGTTGATGAGGAAGGCTACTGTATCAGGCCCAAAGATGAGAAAGGCAGTGTCTATTCCTCTACAGATTCTGATTCTGAAGAAGAGAGGGAACAGAAAATTCATGTAGAAATTAAACCCATAAGCAATGGTAATCCTATATCTGCCAGTGTAGATGAACTCAGAGCCACTGTTGAGAATATTTCTTTGTACAAGATTGGTACAGCCACTGGCCGAAGAGGATCTAATGCCAATACTAGTAAAGCTAGTAGTGACTTACTGGACTTGAACTTCTTTCAGAGCCCTACCGCCAGCAATCCTGCATCCCCGCATGGCAACGCTTCGAATCCTTATGCTCCCTTGCAGGGCAATCAGTCACATTTATTGGAAAGTCCCACTCCAATTTCTAATGCAGATGTAGGTGATCTGTTCTCTGAAGTTGGTGAAATGAATCAATCGAATATACGCACATCGACGCCCACGATATCCACGTCTATTTCGCTGCCCAGGCCACCTTCACGACGATCTGAGGGCGACTTCCGCACTGCAGGCTCCTCAGGCTCACGTGGTCCGTCACCTCTAACTATAGGCATGGCAGATACTATACCGTTAGCTGTTGCTTTTCACGAGATTATACACTCATACTTCCGGGGTACGGAAGAATCCAAGTGCCAAGTAAAGATGTCAGGGGATATGATGCTATCTTTTCCCACTGGTATAGTTGGTGTACTTGCCAACAATCCGAATCCTGCTAAATTATGTTTCAGACTGAAAAATATACATAGATTGGACAATGTCCTACCGAACAAACAACTAATAACAATTAATACAATGATGTCTACCCGTGATAACACGGTCGTTGAATTCAATATGCCTGCATTAACATCGCTGCTAAAGCGACAATCGGAAAAGAACCCAACTGCCCAATACTTCAATGTAGATATACTTAAATATCAAGTACGACCAAAAACCGGCGCTGCGTCTTGTCCATTCCAAATGGTGTCTTATTGGAAGTGTGAAAAGGACCATACTGATTTGAAAGTCGATTACAAGTACAATCTGCATGCTATGAGTCCTCCATCGCCTTTACTTAACGTCTCTGTGTGCGTACCTATGACGGGCGCTGTCACCAACGTAATCGCAATGCCGAAGAACACGTGGAACGGCGAGAACGAACAGGCATTATGGCGCTTCACAGAACTATCGCAGCACTGTGAGGATAGGGGCGTAGGTTCGTTAAAAGCTCGCTTCGAACTAGCTAAAGGTCCATCTAACAAAACGACTATTTCGGCGCAGTTCAACTGCGAGGGTGCGACCCTCTCCGGCATTGAGTTTGAGCTAATAGGTAGTGGTTACCGACTATCTCTTGTTAAGCGGCGATTTGTCTCTGGAAAATATATTTGTGATAGTGACTTGAACTGATTGGTCAAAAACACTTATGAATACACATGTTTATCTATAGATGTTATTGTCGTATATTCAAAGTGTGTATGGGATGCGTAGGTTTTTATACTATTTGTTCTGATGTGTATGTTTTGGTACCTTATAGGACTGTTTCCTGTCCACAAAAAACGAGTTATGTTAATGTATCACAACATAGTTTGTCAATTTTCGATTTTAAATTGTTAGTTCTTAATTTGAAAATTGTATTACTTATTAGAAAGATATGCTTCATCTACTAACTCATTTTTCAGAATAGTTATGTGCCATTATTACTGTATTTTGTAAATTTACACTTTGAGTACTGTACTGTTGCACTTTTACAACTGCATATACTAAACACAAATTTGTACACAGTAATTGTGTGACTATTGAATTCAGTGATCTTTAATGAAATTTATTTATCACATAATCTGCTAAGATTAAACAACATTAATAAAATGTTATAAACACCATTCAGTAGATTTACTTTCTAACCTACTTAAGAAAACTTTGTGTAAAATAATTGAGTTTAAATATTATTTTAATATAATATAACCCCAGAATACAAAGCTTTAAAGCTAATATAAATACCTGTAACTATAATAAATAATATCTCTTAAAATTTGAATTATTTGGAGGCAAATGATAATTTTGTTCTTTTGAAAAAAACATAAAATATTGTATGTTTATTTAATGTAATTTGATGTATCTCTTGTTATACATATATATTATAATTTATAGTGGCCTAATTAGTGGAAAATCCTAAAAGTGGCTGCAAATTTAATGTTCTTTATTTAAGATTTGACTTTACATTTTAGTTTATTTAAATCACCAAATACCATAAAAGCAAATGTTCTAGATAAAAAAAATATAGGTATACATGGCTACTCTGTTTTTTTTTTGTGTAACTCAATATCTACACACAAACTAGTTTTTGTTTATTTTGTGGATTTAGCTAGAATATTATTTAAAACACTAAAATTAAAGTCAGAACTCATATAACGACATTTACATATTATAAAATAATATATTTGGTGTTTTATTTCAATTATGCTTACAACATTATTAATATTATTGCAAATAAGATTCTTTGAATCTCTAAATTATTGTATATCAGTTCATTGATATATTTACATTATTATTTTCAATTTTATTGTTGTATTATTGTAGTGAGCATTTAGATTTCAACCACCGGACATGTTAAGTTGTCTTTATTATTTTCATTACTTAGTATATAAAGGTAGCTTATTATATTTTAACATTTTTATGTAATCTCATAATGTAATTAATAACAAATCCTTTAATATCCCAGGGGCCTAATAAGTTACGAATGTAGCTAAGTAACTTTTACCAAAAGTTAAGTGTTCATACAGTAATATATACATGAAGGTTAAACCATAAAATATTACCTACAACTGAACCATTCCATTTTAAATATATTCTTATGTCTCATAAATTAAGAATTGTTGTAATTATATATCATTAACTTTGTTTATTTTTAACATTACCATTCGGCTGAGTAAAAACCATACATTAAAAAAAATCTCTTTCGTTTATAAAATTTAGAGGAAAAAAAATACAAAATGCGTAATGAAATATTTTTGTAACGTAAAATTTATCACATGTATGATTCTAATAATGATGTAACTATTATGTTAATTTTTAAATAAAATGTAATTAGCATATAAATAGTTATTTTATTATAGTGTTGTAAACCACAAAAAATATAATAAAAAAGAAAAGGACGTGAACTTAATGTAAGTAATATTTTTTAGATGGCTTTTTTTTTGTAGGGGCAGGAAACGTTCGTTATAAGGTACAGTTAGATAAAATGATGAATTGTCTTTTATCTAGACACTTGGTGATAAATATTTGTATTGTGATAAACTCTCGCTCGGTATTATAGTAATGTCTCGGATGTTTCCCGTCTCTACATGTTGCTTGCTGTTGCCTTATGTGTGGGAGTACCATGTGCGTGTGCCGTGCGATTGTCTCAAGTTCTTCAAAACGTTTCAGGTGGAATTGGAGAAACTGAACGCCGCCACTGACGAGATCAACAAGTTGGAACTGGAATTAGATGTGAGTTCATTTTTTTTAATTATTTGTATTAGTTTAATACTCTTAGATAATTTTTAAAATAATTAATTTTGTGACGTCGTGATTCGAAACTACTGCTTATGACCCACTTAGAGTTTTGGATTTTTTTTAACTAATTGTGGCTAATGGTAGAAAAAAATAAGTGCTTATGAGGATAAATACCATTTTTTTTTCTACCTTGATCGAGTTTATGTGTTTTGTTTATGTCTATACATAAATAACTTTTTTCTTTCTCAAGGAATTAAGACCACATTAGTATAATAGAGGACAATAATGTTTTAATTTTCAAATATGTTTCATATAAGTATCTAAATAAAGATGTGGTCTAAATAGATATTAGGTCAATAAAATGCATTTAAGTTCTCTACTCCTTATAATAAAATTATAGTGTGAAATTTAGGGCAAGGTGAATATGTAACATACATTTTTAATTTGCCTACTTACTAATTTTGAACTACTTGGATCTATTTTTGTTAAGTATTCAGTAGCTCTTCGTTTTCGCCTTAAATCGCTAAAAAAAACCAAAAAAACTCACTTAAAATATTGCAGCTTTACACACCCTGTCTCTGTCACACTAATATTTTAATATCATTCACTAACTGTCTCTGTCACGCCAACGACAATTACGAACTCACACAAGGTCACTCATACCTTGTCTACTCTTTTCACTTGGGGTTTTCAATTCGAACTGGATTTCTAAACTAGAAATTTTGAAGAAATTTAGTTGAAAGTGAAGCAATCTCCGCGTATTTTTGTTATTTACAGTTACGGTAAACGAGCATAGGTACATTATGTATGCACGCACATCGCATTTTAGAAACTGTTTAAAGAACATTTCTAATAAGCTCGACATGTCCTCATTCTAATTATAATTAATTGTCTTGTACAGTTAAACTGTTAACCGCGGCTTCACCCTCCAATATAGTCTTTAAAGCATGTTAACAATACGGGCATTGAGCGCGCGTTTTTAGTCAATGCCGACAAGCAACGAGAGAGCGCGATTTCAATGAAATAGGATTCCACTTCTTAAATACAAATCATTATATGATTTTTAAATTTATTTTATTTATGTAGAACATAAAAATAAATGTAACAGACAAATAGTCACGAATTAATAGAGAAATATTATTTTAAATTGTCTGTTCTTACGCCCATTTTCATCGGATACAGAACTCGATCTGAGTTGTGAATGTGTGAATCAACGCACGTTAGACCACCGCCTGACGTCTGAGGCCTTAGTGTGAGTTTATTTCACTTCAATTCACGTTCGACGGCGAGCGCGTCGGCTTTTCAATTGGTGAAGATATAAGTGCGGGCTAATCGCAACGTCAAACTCGATCGACGTGACGGTCGAGAAATGAACTTACACTAGACCCTCTGAAGTATTAAACCAAAAACTTTATGCTGGATTTATGAATTTTGTCAATATTGATTATTTGACAGAAATCGGAAAAAACAGTACCCAGAGTCCAAACTATGTACATATGAATATTTCATTGCCTCAGGAAGCACTTATAGCCATGAAAGGTAATGGAAACACATTAAGTATAATATTAGAATATCAGAAGAAATATGTACCTAAATGGTTTACATTTCCGATATTTCGTTGAAATATCATGCATCCGCCCACACGTTGTTAACTACAGCCGACCACCGACCACCGACCACGTCTACGTAGAATTTTAGCTATATGTGGTGACTACTATTTTCGGCTTGTATGTGTTTTTCGTTGTGTATAACTATAGTTTATTAGCTATTAAACGGAAAATGGGTTTTATATACATATATATATATATAGATAAAAACAATCTTTGAAGCAGGTTGAATATCTTGTTGTTGAGGTTGAATTCTGTTCAACTTATGCTCTGTATAAGTTCGACGCAAGAAATTTCTTTTATTATTACTTCATTCACATGTATTCTTACGTGAACGCGCTTATCTCGTTCGATACGTACCCTGTAGGTCACATACAAAAAGAAAATATCGATCTTATCTCACCACTTTAATATTATCATTCAAATTATGAAAACGAAACGGATTAAGATCTTAAAAATTTATCAATGAAAAAAAAACAAGATATAATTTATCGATGACGAAATATGAAATTATTGAAATATTCTTATCCAAACATTTTGAGTTTACGCAATGTCTTGACAGTAGTGTACTAATTAAGTTAGGTCAATAAACGGCTTAAGGCTCCTCGTAGGTATGTAGTAAAGCTCGCAGTTCAGAGAAGACCTACTTGACCGTGTTTCAATATCAATGACTTAATCCCCGATATCGTATATATCCGGCGCTTCAATCATTTCATGCTCAAAATTTGTTTTAGTACTGTAAAAGGCACACGGTGACTTGGGTCGCAAACCCGGAAGATACTTATCTATTACGCTATATTTGCCATAAGTGCGGTTTGTTTTCAACCGGCACCATCAGTGGCTTGGTTTGTTGGAATAGAACCAACTAAAACACCACCAGCATGGTTTCCACCAACCGCTACTGCAACACAGCCGATCCCCTGTCCCCGGCGCCTGTCCGCAAAAATGCAGACCATTTTTGGTTAACCGCTAAATTAAATGACGTCCGGTCACATGCATACTTATTGGCGGTCAACCTGCTACAAATATAGCAACGTTAAGGTCTTAAGTAAGAGCGACCTCACTCTGAACTTAGCTGCAACTGAACTGCGTTATTAGCGTTGGGCAAAGTTGTTTTGTCCGCTCAAATTTGATGTTCTCCCCGCTCAAGGGTAGGAATGAGTGCCTTCCTATTATATTGTCGTTGATTTTATTGTAGTAATAGGCTACTCACTATTCAACAAAAAGCTCTAGTCTAGTTGTTTCACGATGTGATGTCCGTGGTCTCGAAAGCTATTATATATTAAATTCAGGCCAAGTATGATAAGTTGATGTATTGCTGTAACAGAAACGCTGTCTACTGCTGTTATAATGCTATTACAGTTTGTTGCTCTGTCCTAATAGCTTTCTATAATATTTTTGATATAATCTTCGTTTAAATAAAAGATACAGATCTTTTCACTGTTTGGTAACAAATTTTTAGGAATTTTCATTAAACTTATTGTGGTATTTTAATTTTTACTTTACGTTCAGATATTTTGTAATAATCCTTGTCATATAAACCTCATGAAACAATAGGTTTGGCAGTTAGTACAGGCTGAGAAAGTTTGTCCTCCCCGTGCTCCCCGTCGTCTCCGGCGTGGGCCGTGACCGAAGAGGCCGTGAGCTGTGGCGGCGTGCTGTTGGCGGTGTCACTGGACATCGCCAACGCATTCAATAGTCTGCCATTCAGCTGCATCAGGGAAGCACTCCACTATCATGGGGTGCCAAAGTACCTGAGGCGGCTAGTGGCAGACTACTTAGAGGAGCGTACCGTCGTGTACGAGGACCGAGAAGGTAATTTGAGGAGTCGGCCCATGTCGTGCGGTGTTCCACAGGGGTCTGTTCTTGGACCCCTCTTGTGGAACATAGGGTACGACTGGGCCCTTCGCGCCGATTTCCCCCCCGGGCTGGGTGTAATCTGTTACGCAGACGATACCCTCATGACAGCCCGGGGGGCAAACTTCCAAGAGGCGGCGCGCCTGGCCACAGGGGGAGTCTCCCTGGTGGTCGGGCGCATTGAGGCGCTGGGCTTACGGGTGGCCCTAGATAAGACGGAGGCCCTGTTATTCCATGGGCCCCGTCGTGGTCCACCCCCTGGCGCCTCAATCGTGGTCAACTCGGTCCTCGTACCGGTTCGGGCCCAGATGAAATATCTGGGCCTGATCCTCGACGGGAGGTGGCTCTTCGACGAGCACTTCCGACAGCTTGCTCCAAAGCTGGTCGGCGCTGCGTCTGCCCTAGGGCGACTTTTGCCCAATATGGGTGGACCCAGCGTCGCGACAAGACGGCTGTACACGGGGGTTGTCCGGTCAATGGCACTGTACGGTGCACCGGTGTGGGCGGCGGCTCTGACCGCCCAGAATAGGGTACGCCTCTGGCGCCCTCAGAGGGTAATGGCGGTCAGAGCCATACGCGGTTACCGCACCGTGTCGACGGAGGTGGCATGCGCGTTGGCCGGAACTCCCCCGTGGGATTTGGAGGCGGAAGTGCTCGCCGAAGTTTATCGGCGAGTGGCTGACTTCCGGGCGGAGAGCGGATTTCGCCCTCCGCCCGAGGATGTGCGCGAGTGGCGCGAAGCCGCTCGCCGAGCCACGATGGCTCGTTGGTCGTTCCGGCTGGAGACTCCACGCGCTGGCTTCGCCGCCGTGGAGGCTCTCCAGCCGGTCATCGCCGAGTGGGCAGGGCGGCAGCACGGGACCCTTTCCTTCCGACTGACGCAGGTGCTTTCCGGGCACGGTTGCTTCGGAAAGTACCTGCACACGGTCGCTAGGAGGGAACTGAGTCCCGCCTGCCACCACTGCGACTGCAGTGAGGACTCGGCCCAGCACACGCTGGCGGTCTGCCCCGCATGGGCGGCGCAGCGCCGGGCCCTCACTGCAGTCATCGGAGTGGATCTCTCGCTACCGGCCGTAGTACGCTCCATGGCCGGTAGCGACAGTTGTTTTACCGCGGTCGCAACCTTCTGCGAGGTATTAATCTCGCGGAAGGAGGCGGCGGAGAGGGCCCGGGAGGACGACCTCCACTCGGACCCGATCCGCCGCCGGCGAACCGGGCGGCGGAGGCCCGCCTACCACAGCCTCATGCCGCCCTGAGTGTGGCCGCGGGTGGACGGGGTGGGTTTCCCCTCCACCCGCATTAGTTTGGCCAGCCGCGAGGGGGCGGCGTCCGCGTGTGCCGGACGTCGCCTATAAAGAGAGGAAAAAACACTGAGACGGAGCCCGCACCAGGAGCGGGCTGGCGCTAGGAGGGGTCCGGATGTCTTAACAACAGCTGTTCCCGGATCCCTCCTGTTACAGGCGCAGAGTGGCACACCGTGTGGTTTTAGTCGGTCCGAGTCCGACACACCACCCCGCCGCAAACCCCGGA